CACTTGACGAAAAATATATAACATATTCCATAATATACAATTTATGTACAAATATGTACAAACATGTAGCAATTCAAATTCTTTGTTCAAACTTCCAATTTATAAAATTATAATCATTTTAATATTAACATACAATTGAAAATTAAAAATTATTTTGCTAAATGTTGTAAAAGTCAAATGATTTTGTTCGATCTAGATATTATGTGTTATTAAATAGTTTTATGGACATATTAAAGTATATGTTCCACTAAAAATTATTATTAGTTATATGTATTATTAAATTGTATATGGGTTTTTATCTTTTGTTCCACAATTTTTACAATTGTCGAATTATATATTATACATTATCAATTAGTGTAACCATTAGAGTTTAGAACTATGCGTCTATGCAACAAATGTCACAATTGTTGAAGAAAAACTAAATAGAAAATGTGACAAAAACACAGAAACTTGAACTTGAAAAAAATTTGATTTTAATCTTAAAACTAACTTTAAACATTAATAAATACAATAATATTCATCCCTTTTTTTTAATCATCATCATTAATCTTGTTACAATGTGACACGGACACACATGGCAAGGTAATATAATAAAACATTTTAAGACCATAAATGACATGATAATTTTAAATTGAAAAAAAGTATGAAGTAACAGTTAGCAAATTATTATGTTATTATCAAAATAAATGCAAATTTTAAAATAAATCTTAAGTTTATGTTTTAATTATTTTTTATACAAAAATTATTAATTTTATGGTGCCTGTTCTGTTGATTGTCACTTTCCAAATATTGAATAGGTATTTAAACAATCAATATTAGATAAGTATCATTTTAATTAATGTTTTAAGTCTAAAAACGTTACAATTATACTGAGTTTAACAATGCATTATTGTGCCATAATACTAGAATTGTAAATGTAGACTGCATGCCATGTAAAATGGATTAGACGACTAAATACAATAAGTAATCTCATTCTACGAGAGCTAATTGTATTTACTTGTTTCTAGAGTAATGATAACCGATTAATTAACTCTAAGGTCTTAACGGTTTATAAATGGAAATCTTGTCATCTAACTTTATTTTGGAACAGCTTGTGAGTCAAAATTAGAGTGCCTTTATCTCTAGACACTCTAAATACTCAACAATGAACAAATGAACACTTCTTTGTAATTACTAGAACCGTGACTGAGTATTATGTTTCATACTTAGAAAATTATAAACTATGAATACCTAATAAATTCTGCATAGACACATGTTTTTGTCATTATTTGTTGTATTTAGTAGTATCGAATACTCAATTAAAAAGAAACTAACTAATTTCACTTATGACAAATAAATAATTTGATAAACACCAAATTTCCATCCATCTCCTTAATGAATGGAATACCTAGGATATTTAAAGATTTCTAATACCAACTTCTATGGGATGAGTATTTTAAATTTAAATTTATTACAAATAAATGTATTAAGAGGATTCCACCCTATGATTTTCTGTCTTTATCCAACACACGCGCAACATAGGATTTTAGACGTTTTCTTTGCCAAACGTACCCATTGATCTAATGAAGCGATAAGAATTCTGAAAACAGATTTCAATTTTTTGTCAACTCTACTTGAAATCGATTATTTCACATTTTTGATATTATTACCCCAAAATTTCCTAAAAATGTTATGTTAAAAAAGAGTAATTAAAAAAAGGTGGGCAAGTGGTTGTCGCTCTGCAATACAGTAGGTTACAAGTGGGTTATTGTTATGGATTATTGGGTTAAATTATAGTTCAATGATAAAAAAACATAACTACCTTTATACATTTCTATACGATAACCTATATTTTATACGTTTATCGTTTAATTAGGTATAATACCTACGTATTATGACAGCTATAATGCGTATTTTATCCGTGGTCATAGAGTATTAGGCGAAAAATAAAGGAAAAACCAATTTTAAAATTGAAAATATTATTATTATTAAAAATTATTTTAAGAGATGGTAATGTACGTATAATCAAAAACCAATTATTATTACTAAAAATTATTAAGATCGTATAGTGATCGTAAAATCAAAAAAACATTTTTTTTAAATAAAATAATAATACAATAGGTAGGTACCTAATTAACATTTTGTCGTTTATTCTTAAAACATACTTTTTTCAAAAATTCATATCTTGAAATTCGTCCATCTTCTTTCATTTGCCTCTGTTCGTTAATAAATTTGTATTTTTGCGTTATCCCTTTATTTCTTTTTTGTATTACCCCTTCGTCTGCACTTTTAATTTTTATATATGTGTCAACTTGAATATCTTGTAGAGCATCTATAAATTTATATAGTGATGGATGATGATGATAAAAATATGCGTTAAATTTTGAATGGAAAGATTCACAGTATACATTGTTTGTTATATTCGTATTATCAAAAGTGAAGGAACCGATATTACCGATATGCTTCGTTAAAACTTAAAAATACATTTGGATTTACCTTACCAATATCTGCGCAAGACGCAACATCACATACTTCATAAATAATTAATAATTAAATAATTAAACTTAAATAATTAACTTACATCAATAATTAATTAAATGATATACGTACATAGGTACACATAGGTAGGTATATATGATTTAGGTACTATAATATAGACATATAGTATAGGTATTATACCTAATAATAATATAGAAGGTATATAAAACAAATTGCCGCAGCTTGTATAATGTATCTTATCAGTTTTGTCACAGTTTGTATAATGTAAAATTTTTTTTTGCCGCAGTTTACAGTTTACATATCAACTTTTAGAAAAAGGTTAATTTTGCATTTACATACAGCCGCTACCACACCCGCTGCAGTGACCAGCGTGAAAATTGGCCGTGTTCGTCAAGAGCCGCGCACCGTAATTAGATAACCGGACTCGCGTTTATTTTATTAATCGCTCCCGGCTCGTACACGAATGTTTGGTATTTATAATTTACTCTTTATTTCTTATTTTAAGAAAAAACTTTTTTACATGCCATGAAAACCGATTAGTCCACGAACACATATGTTAACGCATATACTACCTACAAATATTTATTTTTTATTTAAAAAAATAATTGTTCAACGGAAAAAAAATCAATTATATAGGTAGGTAATATTTGGCTTGTTAACTAATTGCAACTAATATTTGCCGTTTACAATTTACTTTTTATTTCATGTCTTAAGAACGAAACTTTTTTTTTTACAGGCGATTAGTACCCCCTACGGTAAATATTATATATCACCTGTTACTGTAGGCGATTTACCTCAGGTGATTAATACCCCCCCGGTAATAATATTGAAGGGGGGTAATAATCGCCTGTTACACTGGGCCCAATAGGTTCTTATTCCGACTTTGCGTTTATCCTTTAATTTTCACTAGGTACATTGAACCACGTAAGTATGTTTTTGACACTTAAAAAAAATTAATAATAAACAAATTACAAATGTCTATACAATAAATACAACTGACGTAGGTATATCACTCATTCAAGCTAGTACGCAAGACAATAACGTCAATAGTAAAAATATTAATTATTATTACGATATTAATGGAAATTAGATTTTGTTGTCGGCAATGATGATTGAAGCCGTCGCTATATATCTATTGTCCACTTTTTAAAATTGTTTTCGGTCAATTTATTTATTTATATCGTTACCTATAAAGTATTGCCATGTATTTTATCTATGTTGATTGTCGAACGACGATTGTTAAAATAAATGCATATTAATAATATTATTATAATATGAATTACCCGGCGTTGCCCCGAAAAAAAATTCTGCTTGTTCAACACAGGGCCTAAAATCAAGATATTTTTCTACTGCACACTTAATTCCACACCAAAATATTTTAAAATAATGAACATAGACCTAGTAGTGCACATGCCACATATAACTTCATTGCATAATTATTGTTTTTTGCTATTTATTAATAATTAGTCATAATAATAATACAATCTAAGACAATCTATAAAAGTCATCTATAAAAGTCCTTGATACCTATACGGCTATATGACTACTAAACATGTTAAAATTAAAAGCGAAATGGCTCGGGTTAATATACTTATTATATTATAAGTCACCCAGCAGTGGCGTATATAGAGGGGTGGCTCCCTAGGCCAGAGCCAGTGTTGGGACTTATCTAGATAAATTTATCTAGATAAATTATCTAGATAGATTTTTAGTCATCTTTTATCTTATCTAGATACATAATGCCAAGTTATCTAATTAATTATCTAAGATACATTTTTTACTTATCTAGATAATTTTATCTAGATAATGTCTGTATTTTTGCTGAGATTATAGTATTTTTTATTCTTATATTTTGTTTTAATAATCGTAAATCGTAATTCGTATATTAGTTAATAGTTAATGGGTTATTTTTGGTTGAGTTAGTAATATTATGTAATATTATATTCATCCTCAGGATTTTCTAGCCGTATATTATTTATACAATAATTGTACCACAAGTCACAACAAGTATTAACAAGTCACATAGGCGATAACTGATAAGCTAATATATATATATTATATATATATATATAATTCACGCCGACATTACTCCACCGCGTTGGACTACGCGGGTCGCGGGCACGCAGTGGTTTCTGAAAATAGTCTATTTTTGTAATCCATTAATAATTATTTCCTTTGTTATTTTTATCATGGTTTTTATGCAGTCCAATCATAGACAAGTATACTAATCCTAGAGTCCAATTTATGTGGAGACACAGACATTGTTCAATAATTGTACCTACTCTATACTGTCCAAAGTCTACATAGTGTCGTACCTAGTCGTCAGTCAAGTGTTCTTAATACTTCTTAGTTCTTATACTTGTCTATGGTCGTGCAGTATCGTTAAGAACGAGTGATGATCGTATATTTAGCATATCGTATTTCGTATTTCGTACTTTTTAGTTTTTTGCAAGTTGTTTTTACTACGCAGTTTTTATTAAATTAACTACCTATTTAAATTATATACCTATAATAATTTTAATATGAAGCGTTTTTTGACACCGATGTTTGATGTTTCGAAAAACTCTTTACCCACAAAAAAAAATAAAAAATCAACTATAATCTATGAACCTATTGAAGAGACTATTGATGAACCTAGTGCTATAAAGTCTGGTTTGATTGATGTTGAAGAAAATAATGTGTCAGCTGCATCATCCGTTACTGTAAAATTATCAAAGCATTACTTGTTTGATGGTAATTATTATAAAATTACTTCATGTGTTGACGATAAATTAATAGCTGAATGCCAATTGTGTAAAAAACCAATAAACGGTCAAATAAATTCTACTGGCAATTTTCTAAGTCATATTAAGGTATGTACCTAGATACTAAATATATTTTGTGTAAATTAAGTTGATTTTAAATTTGTATGTTATCTAACCCAACCTATTAATTATTATATTTTAGAAGAAGCATTCATCAATATTATCCAAATTGAAAATAAGAAAAGATGAAAAAAAGAAAATTAATAATGCTAGTTCAAGTGAGTAAATACAAACTTTTTTTTTTATCTTTATGGAAATTACTATAGAATAGTAATATAGAGTGTATTTATAATGTTAACTACACGGTTCATGTGGAGAACGGATGTAGTATAATAGCGCCTTAAGTATACTGTATACATGATATATAATAATATAATATAATTGTGTATGAACAAGTATATTATATTATTATATATCATGTATAGGTAATAATATTTAATTTATTAAATAAGTAGGACAGGTATTAAAACAAAAAATCTTTTTCTTTTATAATAATTATAAATATAATATAATTTATAATTTATTTATTATTTATAATTATTATAAAAGAAAAAGATTAAATATTATTACCTATATTTTATAAAGTAACATAAAAAATTTACTTGCATTAATGACGAGCCTTAAAAATTAGTAGTATATTAATTATAGTATTAATGTTGTAGACTTTAAAGTTATACAGCCATCATATTCTGGAAGCCAACAACAAAAAATACCGCAGTACATACAACAAAGGCAAATATCAAAACAAACAGTAAGTTTGATTTATATTATAATACAGAACGATCTTTATCATAAACCGCTTATTCAAATTTCACCACTTGTGAAATGTAAAAAAATTAAGTTCAAAATTATTTTTACATTAGGTGCATAGGTTTTTAAGTGTTAATTGTTTTTCAAATATTTAATTACTATTTACTGTTCCAAAATATCTTTAAAAGAGTAATAAATAATAATTGTCAATTGATACTTATCTGTCTTTATAATAAATTGATTTAATTTAAGTTAATTCTAGTTAATTCAACTATTGCCTTTAAAATTGTATTGATCAAGTGTTTTAATTACCTAAAATGATTTGCTTTTAGATCAACAACTTGGTCTTTGATTATGTAGTCCAAGAAATGAGACCATTGGTAACTTGCCAAAAACCAGCATTTAGAAGATTAATAATGGGCCTTACTGGAATAACAGATACAGCTTTACTCCCTGATACAAAAGATTTGAGTAAATTGTTAAAATTAAGTTATACTTCTTATGTTACTATGTTAACTGATTTAATATCAAAAGTATCATTTATTTGTACAACAGCAGACATATGGTCTAGTAACAATAAAAGTTATTTGGGTATGACTTGCCACTTTCTCGACGAAAATACTTATAGCAGGTACTCGTATGTTCTTGGTTGTAGGCGCATAAAGGGCAGTCATACTTACATGAATATAGCACAGGTTATGAATGAAATCACCAAATCTTTTAAAATTAACAATTCCAAAATATCGCATACTGTGACCGATAATGCTTCAAATTTCGGAAAAGCGTTCAGAACATTTTCCATTCATTCAGAAACCCCAAATAAAAGTCAGTTTAGTGCTCAAAGTTCTAATAACGATTGGTTCAAAAGTAGTGATGATGAATCTAATGTTGAAATAAGTGACTCTGGCAGTGAGGTTGATAATGCAGATGTTGAAATCGTAGAAATATCAACATTATTTTCAAATTCTGAAAATATTGAATGTAATGACGACGATGATGATTTTTGTTTACCTGAACATCTAACCTGCACTGCTCACACTCTTAGTTTAATTGCTACTAGTGATGTAGCTAAAATTTCTGACTCAACTTATCAGAAAATTTCAAAATCTGTGTTTGTTAAATTAAATGCATTTTGGAACATTCTTAGCAGAAGTTCGGTCGCTTCTGACAAAATATATGAGATCTGTAATTTAAAGTTCCCTGTACCTATTATTACACGCTGGAATTCAATGTATTTTGCAGTAAAAAAAGTGGTCGCCAATAAAGAAAAGTTGTTAGTTGCATTTGAAGAGTTAAAATTAAATAAATTAAAACAATCTGAGTGGGCATTTCTAGATGAATATTGTCTGATCATGGAGCCTTTGGCAACATCTCTTGACCTAATGCAAGGGGAAAAAAGTTGTTTTTTAGGTTATGTCGCCCCTACTATTATTGCTCTGAGACTTAAATTAATTCAATCGACTCATTTAATCTATTGTAAACCATTGGTTTTTTCAATTATTAAAAGTCTTGAAGAACGATTTAAGTACATTTTGATTTAACACATACTAAAAGTAAACCATTTATTTTGTCAGCCATAAGTCTTCCAAAATTTAAACTATCTTGGGTGCCAGTCAGATATTTAACTGTGTGCAAACAATTATTTATAACTGAATGTAATTTAGAATACTCAATTGAAAATAGAACTGATGAAAATGGCTCTGATGATAATGAAAACAGTGACCACGAATTTTATCAAATTCTTAGTGGAGATACGGATGGTTCACATGATCAAAATCATATTTCTTTTCAAAACTCAGTTAATACTCCTAAAAATACAAATCTTGCTAGTGTTCAAGCACTTTCGTTTTTGGATACAAAAAAAAAAGAACTAGACATTTTAAATAATTTGCCAATTGTTAAAAAAGTTTTTTTAAAATATAATACAACCTTACCATCATCTGCCCCTGTTGAGAGGTTGTTTAGCAGTGGTTCACAGATTTTAGTTCCCAGGAGAAACCGGCTTAGCGACAACACATTTGAAATGTTGTTATGCTGCAGGTGTTTTAATAATAATAAATAATTTTAACTAAGTCTTATAGCTAAGCATAAATATTGTTATAATATTTATATTATTATTTTATTTTTAATAGTTACTTAAATGATCAAACTGAAACAGAAAGTTACTGTAAATTGTTAAAATTGTAAGTATTAGTATAGTTTTTCAACTATTTAGAATTTTAAACTTAAGTGGCTACCCTGCTAAGATTATAATATTATATACTTGCATACCCATTACTTATTGTTATTCTGCATTGTTATTGATGTAATTTAAGAAATATTTGGTGCTTGAATTTACTATTTTTATGTTATTTAAACCTTTTGGTTATTATACATTTATAAATTATAAGTTATGATTAAAAAATATGACATTATTATCAGTATTTACTATAATAATTAATATGTAATTTTTTTTTTTTATAATATTTTTGTGATTAAGTACTAAAGTATGCCATGTACCTGACTAATTATACACTTAATTATTACTACAATAAATACTGGTAATTCAAACCAACAAATAACATTTTTTTTTTAATTATCTATTTTTTTATCTAGATAAAAATGTATTTATCTTTTATCTTTATCTAGATATTTTCAAATTTTTTATCTATTATCTTTATTTAGATAAATTCACACGTATTATCTTTCATCTTTATCTAGATAAATTTTGCGTTATCTAATCCCAACACTGGCCAGAGCACATAGTGAAATTGCAGATTCAATTAAAGCATTTCATGTATATCTACACTATTTACTGTTTTTCACCATGATTAAAATCGTTTTTGAGGAATCAACAAGGAAATGATTGTCAGGGCTTGCTTTAGTAACTTTGATGTTAAATTCACAGTTAGATAACATTAAAATATATATATATGAAATTGTCAATATTTTTTAAAAAAGAATTAAAGAATTAATTTCATTAAAAATATTATACTTAATGTTTATTATAAAATTAAATCGTGCAATTTTTATTTGTATTGTATATATTTCATAATTATATAACCACCCAGCTCTCTAAAATATGTAGTTATGGCTATGTTAGTCGTGATATGCTTGAATAGTGATAAATTGCCAAAATTGGCCCATAGTGAAAATAATTTGTATATACGCCACTGTCACCCAGAATATGGTGTAGAGGTGTAGACGGTGTTATTTTTAATGTTAAGGATTTCAAACAAATGCAATGTGCTAATTAGTAATTTTCAATAACCAATATTTTATTATAGTATTTTATAATACAATATAATATTATGTTCCTTGACGAACACAAAAGATCTCGTTCACCCCTCATGTGTCCGCCGACTCGTCCATTCTTCATGACGCCACAGGCGGCTAATCCCCTTTTCATGACGCCACGGCTCGCGGAGGGGTGACTCGTTTGACCGTTTACCCATGACTCCTTTGACTCCTTTACGCATGACCCTTTAAGCGCCACACGCTTTTACAATCGTACCGACAAAGGGAGTTCAACACTCACGGCACCAGGGTCGCATGGACCATAGTCGTTGTCGGTGCGAGTGTGGGTGGGAGACGAGCGGCGACGGTAGCTGCAACTGGTTCAACGGGCAACACGACCACGGTAAAATATAATATTAATAATCTAAGTTTTGTTAATAATAAAACTGTAAAATGAATGTCCAATATGAGTATACTTGGGTGTGGCACATATAACGCAATTAAATTATTTTTAGAAAGTAATTAACATTCTCATAAAATTAGTAGGTATTACCCAACAATAATTACACCCTGATTATCTAAAAACTTGATGACACAACAATTAATATGTACACCGCAATTCATCTGACGCAAAAATATAATTGCATCTCGATCATCCATGAACGATACAATATACAAAGTGGGGATGACAAACTTCAATATACACTTTATACAACCAACACCTCCTCAGAGAAGCAAGCTCTCTCGGATCACTTGTTAGCGGGTCTCGGAATACTCGTCTTGGCTCTCAAAAATTATCGTTTGAGGCTCTGGGCATGCACAGTGCACACGTCTCTCTTCATATACACTCTGCGGATATTCCACGGACACTCTTCGGATCACTCGGATTATTTGGAAGGACTCATTCTCGGATCAACAATATTGTTCCACGAAAACAAGATGTTTTGATGCAGTATGATACGGCCTGGAGGGCTGTATTCTATGAAGACAAAAAGCACAATGTCCTACGTCCACGTAAAATGATTTCGACACACCTCCATACATTAAAATATAACTCTTTTATTACGTATAAGCAGTGGTGTATTCGTAAATATATTTATGGGTATACGCACCAATAAAATATGTATGTAACCTAAACGATCAAATTATATCATCGTATATATTTTATAACGTTATTGCAGTTCAATTAGTACATAGTTTTTAACATTATTTTATTAATTTTTTAATAATGTAACAATAGAAAATAAAACAAAATCAACTCAAATGTCAAAAAAATTAAAATAATAATAACATTATTATTATAGGTACAATCTATAGAATTGTCCACAAAGATTTTTTGTATTCAATAATGGGTTTACTAAATTGAACTTAAAACCTTAAAATACATTTAATGCAAGGCATATTGTTATATAACTTATATTCAATACCTACTTCAATTGATAAATAGTTCATTAATACATAATAACGAATAACGTTTTTTTCCTATATGAACTATTAAATAAATTTTAAATCTTATTTGGTTTTCTGGTTATTTTATAAACGTTTACCCGTAAAATAAGATTTTACATTGGGTATACGCCGAAAATCGAAAATCTTCTGATGGGTATACGGTGTATACCTGCGTACCCGTACCAATACACCACTGCGTATAAGTTAAATTAATTCATTTCCATACTAAAAATCTTACTATATTGCGTTAATGCAAACACCAGGTATAAACTTATAATGGTATACGTATATTCATCTTAACCTTTATAATCTAAAAAACACTCATGTTATTTTCATCACTGCCTACGCTTTTCTCCTATATATCCTTGATACCATATTTTTATCCAATCATAAATATTTTAATATACATTTTTAACAAACTGAAAAGGTATAAGGTAAATTACTAAACAATGCAAAATATGTCGAATAACAATATAAGTAGGTAACATTTAATATGGTACCTAACTATACTTACACAATATAGTATATTATATTAAATTTAATAGGTATTATAGACTAAAAATCGTATGATAATAGCGTGCATCGACTCACACATTAAGATTATAAAATTGTATACACATCGCTTACAGCTAGTCGAGGTAAGCGACACACTTTTTACACATATACAATAGTCAATAATAATACAGTTGTAGTGGAATAGAAACAAACATATGAACTACTTAACATCTTATTGTTTTTCAATAATACTTATTAAACTCCCCCATGCTAACGCTTTTTTTTAAATATTCAACATTTTTTTTAATAATATTTAGGTAGGTACATTGAAAATAATTTGATTATGAAAAATACGAAAAAAAATTCTACAAGGAAGGCGTATAATCGAAAGTCATATTTAGTAGTTCTTCAATATATTATTTGCTCTATGGTATTAGATAAAATTGAATGCTCTTCGCGGTAATAATAGCAATACCACTACGACTACGGTCTACGAACTTACTGCTATCTGCAATACGAGTTGCAGCACTATTAGTATTTTATAATCGATGTTTATAATCGAGTTATATATTTTAGCATTACTACTTGACGAAAATTGTGATGATAGTTGAGTATAATATTGTTGTTTCATTGTGCCTTGCGTGCATGTTATTATTAATTGTCATTTGTCATTGTATGTACTGCTTTTATTTTATACTTGACGTTACCTATAACTGTTGCGGCGGCAGAGCGATTGTTCTCAAAACTAAAAATAATAAAAAATTGTTTACGAAGTACGAGAAGAACGGGAGGTTGCAAGGCTGGATTAAGGGGGTTTAGTAAGTTCCCACACGAAACATAGCAGGTAAGTGGGTACATAATATGTAAGTTCCCACACAAAAATTTATTCAGACTTAGGACTGAAAACTTAAACGTATTTGGTCCAAATATATAATAAAAATGAATGATATAATGTGTAGGTCCACTTATTATTTGTACTTTCTCAAGCATTTGTAGTAAGACTTTTATCAGAACTAGCACTAGACCGAATACTTGGGGGGAAACTATATCAATAAAAAAATATCAGATTATAACTTAAAAATAATTACACAGTACGACCATGTGTAGTATTCGAGCTTTCGCAATAAGCCAAATAAAATTTAATTTTTTCGATTATTATTATCATCATTATTATAACTATTATTATTTTATACTTATACAAATAATATATGGACCATACCTACACGTTATATTATTAATTTTTATTATATATTTGGACTAGATTGTCTAGATTCAATTAACCCGTCGTTGGTATCGCTATGTAAAGTCCCGCCATTGGTATTGAGTGAGCGCTGCGCTCACCTTGTTGTTTTTTTATCATTATTTATTATATAATGAACATAAAATATTGAAACCAACAACGAATTATTTATAGTTTAATCTTTTACAAAAAATGTTCTTACAATTTTTCTCGATTATAAATTGTTAACCACTAAAAATTAATTTATAATTTTTTATACATAATTATATAATAAGATAATCATTATCATTCATCTTCGCCTTAGTGGTCTGGAATATTTTGCTGATTATTATACAGTACACATATAAATGTTGGGTGCTACTTAAAAATAGGTCTGAGTTTACGAAAAAGTATTTGGTTGACCTATTGAGTGAGTGAAACGCTGAATTTATGGATATTAACAACATTGCATGTCGATATCTAATCAAGAATTATTTATACAATTTTTATATTTGCAAAAGTATACTTAAATATGTGTCGATTGAAGGTATAAATAGTATCAGATGAATCAAGTAATAAATAAACAAATGGCTCTCAAAATACTAACGAGGTGAGCGCCGCGCTCACATCGCGACCACTGACGGGTTAAAACACCTATTACCTAGCAAATTTAGGTTCATTGC